CTATGACGGCTATCATCTCCTGCTTTCTGATTGGCTGAGCGGGAAATGACTAGAAAGTAAAACAGAAAAGAAAGTGAATTAGAGATGAAATGATTTTGTCCATGCCAAAGTAAAGAACAGAATTTGATAGAAAACATAAAAGGATATTTCTTAAAGATAGAAATATAATAGGATTTTATTTTGTCCCATGGGTCGGGCATTTGCAGTCTTCCTGAAGCTCTACCGGGAAGATATGTCCATCTAGCAACATTTTTCCAAACAAAATACAAATGCCACAAACACTGCCCTGGCAGGGGGATAGAGGAGCACATTGTGCTCCAATTTTTCACTATTGTGCAAATGTTCGATGCTCAAAAAATCTCACTATGCGCATATAAGTTCACATAAGTTAGTCTGTCCTAAGTGCCGTTGTACCAATACTGTTAAACATTGTTCTTTTTAAATTTTTTTTGTTGTTGAAAAATTTCTTTTTGGGGGGTTTTCATTATTATTTATATTGGGGTTCTAGGGAATGGGTTACCAACTTTTTAGGGGGATGGTCAGGTGATGGGTTACCTTGGTAGGGGACCTAGTGTTCTTTTGTATGCCCACCTGCCTCATGGCGAATCTGTAAAATAAAAATAAATAAATAAAATAAATAAATAAAACAAAAGGCATCATTATTGTGCTAATGGTATGCTGACATAAAAAAGCTAATATTTGTCCTTAATGCTTGTTCAGGAACTTGTTTTATTTGAACACGAGGGATCCTGCTCAATCTAATCCTTCATTGCTCTGGTTTGGTTTTTGCGAGCTGCGTTTTCTAGTCATGAAAAAACTCGTTTTGAACAACAGTGGAATTCCGATTTTTCGAACCTCCAAGGCAAATGAAAATTGGTTCGAAAAATTGGATAGTTCGAGAAATCGAGGGTAAAATTACAGTGTTCGACTGAGGAGAGGGAAACGACTTTTGGTTCGAGTTATCGGGAGGCCGAAAAAATGATGGTTCGCCGGATAAATAGGGATTCCACTTGTAGTAGAAGAGGGTTGAACTAGCAGAACATGTTGGTGTGTGCTGTGTGTATTGAGTAGTCAAATGACTGGTGTGCAGATTTCTCTTGCCCTCAACCGTCTTCCAGTTTTTGTCGCTATTATTCTGGCAAAATACTCGATTCTTTTACCTCACTATTATGTTCAAAATAATGCCGGAAGAGTGTGTAAAACCCTAGCTTGGAAATGACGGAGCCAATGAGCTAAAACTAATAGACAATTTCGCTTTGCTTAGCTTTTCCCCGGAGTTTTGCCAGGCCGTCAGGAAGTGGCTGAATTCAAATGGAATGTGAAACAAGAGCAAAAACAGAGGAGGAAAAAGTAGGCCCTGAATGCCATTGTCTTAAAACCCGTTTTCCTTGTTTTCTAGCTAACGCTCCGTTTCTAAAACGATGTCAATATAAGCGTGTCACGGCTACTTTGTCGGGTGTGTAGGGGGGAATCAAATAGCAATTCCTCTTGCTTCTAATCTTTCAGGCTGTCGTGTTATTTTCAAAGCACAGTGCTGTTATATAGACAGAATTCTTTTTGTAGAGGGAAATCGTTTCTAAATTTTCTTCCGATTTTTCACCGTTCCAACACACGCAAACCTGGCAGCCTTACCCCACTCTCGCGCAAAAAAAAATAAATAATAAAAAATCCTCTCGATCACGTGACGTCGTTTTCAGACACGGTTTCACACCACACTCGAGTGTGAACTTTTCGTTGTCAGGTTAGAAGCGCCGGTAAG